TCAGTTTCATTAGCTTCAAGTGCACACTCATCGTTACTTTACCGTAGCAGTGGCAATGGTGTTATGAAAAATGAGCTAAATCATTGAAATTATCATTAACCCGCGCCGTGCTGGTGGCCTGAACTTTCCGCCGAGTGCTGGGGGGGGGGGGGGGGCGTTTTCACGCCCCCCCCCGTCTAACTCGGCTCCTGGGCCACGTATCGACATGCGGTAAGCGGCAATCGAAAGAGCGTCAAAAATAAGGACGAAAACACTTCGGTCATTTTTTGGGTCAGGTCAAAGGTCAGGTCACCAGAGGTCACCAAAGGTAAAATGTTGACTATTTCAACATTTTGGAAACTGCCAACGGCTATCTCGGGAACCGATAGAGCTACAGCGCCGCGGAAAAGCGCATTCGATAGCCCGTTTACAGACCTTTCTGAGTAATGTTCTCAGATTTGACCTCAGGTCAACGGTTTAGCCTCCAGAGGGCAAAAACTCCAAAAATAGCCGTTTTTACGAAAAACGTTTTTTCGTCAATAACTTTTGACTCATAAGCGCCATGACATTATTTTTGCCAGCATCGTGTTCCTCTCGTCGAGACGCGTCGAATGAACTATTTGTTGACCTTGAAAGGTCATTTTGAAAATTTGACCTCAGGTCAAGGTCATGACCTGACCGAAAAGGGTCATGTTGCATATCAGTCGATCCGTATCGTCGAGCTGAACACATCTGACGTGTTTTCACCGCTCTAGCACGTCTCTATCAAAAGTTATAGCCAAAAAACTGCTGGCGACCGTTCATGACCTGAGATGACCTCAGGGGCACACAGAGGGGTCACAGGTGCATTTTTCCTATTCAGTGTGTCATGTTTACCTATGAACCGATGTTTGAGAGCGTTTTGAACGATATTCGTCCAAAAGAGGCGCATTTCAATTTTCTCCCGTTGACTTATAATGGAGAGGTCGCAAAATTGACCTGACCTTAGGTCACAGATATCAAAAATCCGAGATATACATTTTATACATACTATTACTCATATCAATCGCTAAAAGTTTCAAAGTGATCGTTCAGTCGGTGTAGCTATAGCGAGCCTTTGAACTTTTTCTGAGGTAAGGTCACTTGACGTGACCTGGTGACCTGACCTTGAACGGCCTAGGTCTGAAATTTTCACAACATGTGCGGAAATGATGTAGAAACACGTGTACCAAAAACGGCGGCGCTGCGCGCCGCCGTTTTTGAGATATTCGCGAAAAACCTGAGGGGGGGGGGCGTAAAAACGCCCCCCCCAGCACGGCGCGGGTTAATTGGATAAACAATGGAGTGGAGGTATCTGTGAAGATCGTTTGAAAAAGAAATACACATATTTTATAAAGGCAAACGCTCTTCTCGAACACAGAAACAGTATTGGTTTCTTGCGACTAGCCCTCTAAAACTATCGAATAGGATATTGCAGCGGCCAAACATTATAGCAAATCAGGAGAGCTCCTGTTTGTTCCGACATGAATTCGAGATCTTCAGATCTAAAGTTTGTTATCCGCTATCCAAAACTGTATCGGAACATATCCCGGAGGTTATGGCCTTTATGATTTTCACTTTGAGCTGATTTACAAATGTGAAGAATTTAGTCAAAATACTACTTTCATTATTTAAACCACATAGTACTAGCGTGAGCACTACATGAGCAATGCTGTGCCAGGCTATCCACCCACACAGGTATGCAACCGTCGTCCCGTGAGAAGCTAGCCACAAATTCACATGGGTTTTCTCATCAAGACGTCTGAAATGGCAGTACTGAATTACGACGCACTGCACTAAAACACGGGTGTTGCCTCTAAGCTCTCTGAAGGTATTGGAAGCCGTGGGGTGAGTCTATGAGACTTGACATAACGCTACTGAGATGTTAGAAGCGTTATCCTGCAGGAAAAAGACGCTCAAAGAGCGGGGCCGTGGTCCGCGCAATCGCACGTCGTTCTCCGGCGCGCCAGGATATAGGGCTTTGCGGCACAGCATACCTGCAGGCGCTCTGCTCCTGCCATCTAGCGACAGAAACGGAAGGCTGCGTGCATTGTGGTGTGGTTCGCCTACACGTTCCACATAGTGTAAGTAAATCTATGCCAATTTTGTTTGTATCATCAACATCTTATCGTTATCACCAACATCACTTTCTTCCTCAGTTCGAGAGCTGCAGCGGTGGTGACCACATAAATGTTGCTAACTCTTGTCGCCCGGCCTCTCTATATTTAGGTATTTGTTAGATAACCCGGGACGAAGCCCAGCAGGCAGCGAATACCTATAGCGCCGGTGATGGACAAGAATAAAGTGGAGCGAAACACCAGATTTGTTGTAAGTGACCAGAAGTGCGTCTGGTCTGGTTGCTGGCACATCTACGAGTATGTATGCACATGTATGCCTCTCTGACTCTCAGCAGACCACGCTGCGTGTTGGTGCTGCGGTGGTTGGCACATTTGCCCCATTAAAGTCACCAACGAACGACACACGGAGCGGTACACAGGGCAGCATTGCGCCGCCAATCGGTGAGTTTCGTTCCCCGTGTTGAGTGGATAGGTGATGATCTTTCGACATTTACTGTTCAGCTTTGCTGAGGAAGCTGAGGCTCGGTCCAGTCACCAGTGGCTGTGCCGTCCACCTTCAGCGGCAGGCGAGGAAGAAGTGGACAGGGTATCACCGTAACTCAGCCCGGTCGGTATATACCCACAGGCGGCTCCAGCACGCTGCAGCGTGAGGTCTAGCAATCTAGCGATGCACAGCTCTCAGTTCACTTACACGGAGGTCAACGTTCCTTGCAGCAGCCTGGCATGGGAACCGAGCTGAAACAATCAATACCGCGTGACGGGCCCATATATAGGATTAGTTGAAATTCGCATGAGCGAGAGGTCAATGATTCGATACGACATGAACTCAACATATGTTTTCTTCTCTATTCCGGGTGAACTATAAGGGAACTTGGCGGAACCCACAGTTAACATTGGAATGGCATTTACTGTCACATGCCGCCTTCAAAAACATCAGCTTAGTGCCGCACCATGATGTAATTACTAATCAGTCGTGAGAGCGCTGCTATGCTCTTTGCGGATAATGAGTTTACTACAGGTTTACTCTTTGCATTACAATTTATGACAGGAAAATAGATAAAAGACGTCGTGCCTTGCCTTGCATCTGGATGAGTACAGCATTCATGCTGTGCTCTGGAGAGCTTTTGTCAATGCCTAACTAAACTAAGACCCGTTTATTTCATTGAGTAAGTATCATAACAAAATTGCTTATAACTTTTTTTTTGCCTGGTATTTTCAATCTATCAATGAACATTCGCTTGCAAAAACGGGTTGGTGCACCGTTTTTACTTTTCCATTAGTAGGTACAGATACTTTTAATAAGCATTCTATAAAAAGTTATACCTTCAACACATTTCCACATGTTTTTATTTTCTATTCAAAGTTTGTCTAGCGAACCGGATGTCTGAGACGGTCGGAAGCGGGCGCACCGCGCTGTCGGAAGGTCTGCAGAGCGCGGGTCACGACCCTTCCCACGCGGCCCGATCAGCGAATCACGCGACGGCGCCCAGTCGTGAGTGGAGGATGCGCCGCCATGGGACGACCGCGAACGAGAGCCGCGAGGAAGCAATCAGCCCGTGTCGCAACGGCCCCGGCACACAGGCGCTGGGGAGGAACAGACAGGCGGCAGGCATGTCCAACACTCGCTGCGAGAAATTCTAGTGAGAACATCGGGGTCATGCACACGATGGTAGGCTGAAAAATAAATCGTTGAATTGATCTTATTCTATTCTTAGCGCCTTATGATGAAAGTGTTGTATGGGAATCGTGCAGAGGCAACAGTCGATTCCTGAGCTGTTAGTGTCCGTTTCGGTTGCGAACATATTTCCAATTATTTGTTCTCAGTGAAGGTTTCCCGCCGGTGGCTGCAATTACGCCCACCTTCATCCGGCCTTGTCATTCGTTCTGCACTGCTTATGCAACTGATCAGCGCTGTAGCACCTGTCATCGTGAAGGCACGCCCCACCCTCCCCCATGCGCCACCCCTGATACAAATCACCGCATTCCAGCCTTCAGTCTGGCCTGAGTCAGAGCGGAGCCGAGCGGCCGCTCTCAGGGGCAGGTGGCCCCCCAGAGCGGGCCGGCCGCTCAGAGCGCGATGCGAGCCACGGTGTTCCCCGGACCCCTGGTCAGCCGCGGCGCGCCCATCTCGGCCGCCGTTTGCGTAAGGGGAGCAGGGTGTCGGTTAGAAAGGCCCGCGGTGCAGGCCGCCCAGCGGTGGCGGCGGACCGAGCCGTCCTTTCATGGCCCCCGGACGTGGCCCCGCGCGGCCGCCGCGGCCGTCGCTCCGTATACCGCGGCGGCTGCCATCGGCGCAGCTCTGCTCAGTTTGCGACACGGGCGGGGCCGGTTGGCCCACCGCGCCGCTGGACGATCAAGGTCAGAGTGGCCGTAGGAGCCGCGCCTTTCGCACGGCCCCGGCGCTGGCGGCGAGCCTCGAACGGAACGTGACGAGATGGACGGCTGGCGGCCAGCGAGCGGCGCGATAGTCCTGACGATTTCGCCACGCCCGATCCGCCCACCGGCACCGGGACACAGACAATAGTCCTTCGGCACAAGGCAGGACGGCAAGCTGCTTTGTGATCGTCTACGCACACTGAAATGCTTTCGTGGTAGGTCACACTCGTGAGAATATTGAGCTTACCAAGGAAAATATGACCAATCTTTATCAAAAACGAGGTAAGAGAGATAGGTACTGTCGAAAATGGCAAATAGTGTCATGGGTTTGTTGGAACGCTTGTTGAATAACGATGGTGTCATGGTTTGGGGCTGAGACCTTTCCGCATCCAGTTGAGACTTGAGTGATGAGTCGGCCAATGCTGATAGATCGTAACTGGTTAGAGCTAACAAGCCATAACTGAGCTGAATTAGAAATTAGGCGGTCATCCCAAACATATAAGTCTCATAACACCGAAACTAGCCTTTTCAGACACAACGAAAAGCATTGTTTTGGCTGCATTTATGCGGAGGACAAGCAAGTTCACCAAACCGTTTAGGCTTTTTATCAAGGCTCTAAAACTATGACTTTTGGCTTTTTACATCGGCATTATGATGTCGAGCTTGGAGGTGTGATATTTATACGTCCCGTGCGGTGTTGACATATTTTGCAAGTTCTTTTTCAAGAGCATGTTTCTTTTCATTTCGCTAGAATGACGAGTACAAGGCGTATGACTAGGAAATTATGGCAAATTGTAAATTTAAATGATCGAACGGTTTGTGACAAAAGGGGTCGATGACATGAGTCAATGCATAGCTACATTATTTACAACAAGTTAGCTTCATTGTACGTTTGCTTTGCAATGCTGCACATAACGCTTCATAATGAGACTGAAATCATTAACGCTATGCTTCAAAACATTGAACAGCCGAATGGTTGGAATTTTACTAAAGGAAACAGCTTTCGCGACGAAGTCAATAATTTCCAAATTTATCGGAATAATGAAGAAAAAGAAGTGAAAATATTTGATATGATTTTACCACAACGTGACGAAGAAATTCTGCTGTGGCAAAAGGCAGGGAACTATGTGGTACGTATCAATTTTATATTCAAACATATGCCATGCATTGCATAAACCATCGGCCAATGCCCAATGGCCAGATGTTTTTCACCAAACTGCGGTCGGTACACATTGGTCCCATTAATAAAAAAGCTTGCACGCATTTCATCAATGCTAAGGCATATATATGATGGAGTCTCACTTTCAAAGGTTACATTCCTTTTGTGGTATAATGGTATCGCTCCTTACGCAGATAAATTCAAGGGTTTTTAATTATATGTATAGGTCTAGGTACAGGGTGACACAAAAAAAACGGTCATCACCAAATTTCGAATAACTTCGGAAGTTTTATTCAGATCATCACCAAACTTCGGCCACTTAAGGTCACACCTATGTAGCATACATCCACCAAGTTTCAAGTCTTCACTACGAATACTTTTAGTACAGTGTGTGTTTTACTGACGCTCCACAATGTGCTCCAGGTGAGCGCCACGGCGCTGCAGGGCGTAGGCACACTTGCATCCGGCGGGCAAAGTTGTCGATAACCCGATAGCTGTGCACTTTACAGAGTGCAATGGCCTCTGGAGACAGTGCTCAGGGGGTGTGCTACCCCTGAAACGTTATTCTTATCGGGTTATCGGCAACTTTGCCCGCCGGATGCAGGTGTGCCTACGCCCTGCAGCGCCGGGGCGCTCACCTGGAGCACATTGTGGAGCGTCTGTAAAACACACACTGTACTAAAAGTATTCGTAGTGAAGACTTGAAACTTGGTGGATGTCTGCTACATAGGTGTGACCTAAAGTGGCCGAAGTTTGGTGATGATCTGAATAAAACTTCCGAAGTTATTCGAATTTTGGTGAAGACCGCTTTTTTTGTGTCACCCTGTATTATCTATACAAACGGCGAACACACCTTGTTGAGCTAACTGTAGGTAATAAGACAAATTAATTAAATTGCAAAATGAAACGTATGTCAAGTAGTGCACCTTAAAAGGATCTATGTGTTCCGCTATTCCTTCTAAGTCCAGAGTGATAAAGAGTGCCCTTCGCGTCAATACGGCAGTCCGTTTCGTTGCGTCTCGCTGCACTACCGTTTCTCACCACGGTCGCTGCCGCCGCCACCACAAATCATGACACTGTGCAAGGTCAGATGGTCGGCACCGAAGAGGAAGCGAAACTTCCAGAAAAGTTTATCTAATTGTTCCCTCTAGACATGAGCATTAAGCAGTGCTTGAGAAGTGTGTGTTTTAGTTGAAGCTACACCTATACCTGCATTATCCATTACATCTTTCAACGGCCCACAGGGACGGGATACGAGCTCCACAGATTCGGCAACTTATTGATCGAGAGGTTAACTAAGGGAACGGGCTATTCTCCACAAGCGAAATTCAATGGCACCCGATATAAAGGTCTATGTTCAATCCTTGACTCCGTAGCTAGGCATGTAGAATCAATGTCCCAAAGTCGTATTTTTGCGGACAATTTCCGAACAATAATCGCAGATGAAATGCAACAGTAACATACAGGACAAGCACGCTTGTCTTGTAGGACCTGTAAGATATTTTCTAACAGGTGCCCAAACGATACCTAAATACAACGCGTGCCCTGGCCCGATTCGTTGGTGCGTTTTGGAGACATCACCAAAGCGCTTGGGATTTGGGGCAGCCTGTCCGTCGTCAAACGGTATAGTGCTTGTACGCTCGTGAGTTTAACGAGTATCGTGATATCCGCTTCACACATTGAAGCCATTGCCAGCGCAAGGTGGCAGCACGGCCATGGGAGCCACAAAGTCCGCTTCGGTTCGACGCCATGTGTGACCTTACAGAATTGGAATGGGTCACGGCCGCTTCAGGTGACATTAGGACGAAGGTTGTGTCTGAATTAGCAGCTGTTGAGCAGTCATGCAGAAAGGTAGCATTGTAGGCTGTTAGTGGAATCTGCAATTGCAACGCAAAATCTGTTTTTACGGATTTATCCATCTAAATCATCACCTGCGATCTAGTTGTAACATACCTACTGTAACAGACTGGTAAGGAATGGAAGCAAAAATAAAAACAATTATTTTATTAGACATCATTACCCAGCCACACCGACAGAGAAAGCCGATTAAGTGGGAGGGTCTCACATCGAACATGATCAAAAAGCTTTCCCCGACTCATAGCCATCAAGATGAATGGAAGTAGGAAGTTCCACTAAACGTCCTGTCTTTACAGCAGCTTTTGCCCACATGCAATAATTAGCGCACAAGCTTATCATTGCAGAAGATATCATATTGTACCTGTCTAACCTGTCTACCTGACCCTATTATCGCCCAGAAGTCACCGGTATACCTATTGCCTTTTGATCAGAAGTCGGTGCACTCCCGATCGGCCTCAGTCTTGTGTAAGTGCGTCCTTGGCTGGCAGCGCCCCTCAGTGGCCGGCCCGCCTGCTCCAGTTCCCTGACCGTGTGTGAGGGAACATGGGATGACGGAAGAGCTGACTGGACTAGTTTGTACAGCGACGGATGCCAACCGGTGGCGCAAAGATAGTGACATTGGCCGGTACACCGTCAACGTGAGAATTGTCCTGACCGGACGTCAGTATAGTAAAGATTGGTCACAGAAACCTGACCGGATTGGTGACTGTGACGACTTGCTAGTTAGCGTAATCGCAACAATGGAACGGAAGCGCAATGCAGCTGTTGCGTCCAGCTACGCTGGCGAGGAGAGTGGTGTCAGATGTCTTTGTCACCAAGACATGGCGAAAATGATTTCGGTTTTTATTGGTGCCTTGGCAATGTCAATGACAGCATTATCTACCCATATTATATATGTAGGTTTACATGACTACCGATTCATCGGAAGGGAAGGGAAACTGAATAGCATCGAAAGCTGGCAAAGGAAGACAAATGGGCTGTACCAATTATCATGGATGTGAGACACAGGTTATAGCGCAGTCATGACGCTGTTTTCATACATACGTCTTACGAAACTATTCGCATTACAGCAATGACAAGAATACTTGTACCGAATACCTACTTAATTTAAATACTTCTTACGACCTAGAAACTTTTCTTCTCGCACAGAGTGCACGGAGCAGAATGTCCAGTATAACCCATAAGCCAACCAAATACTGATAGTGAAGTGAGCACGGACGTTCCGATCGCCTATGTCTCGCCTGTCGGTTACGGTTACGCACGCCTGCCGATCTCCCGGGTGATCAGCAGGCAGGTAGCTCCCGATTCTCCGCCCATCAGTCACACCTATCTCGCCGTTCCAGGCGATCCCGTACACGTTGGAGCCCTCTCTGAGCGCCGCACAGCGCCGGGCCATCCCTGACGTCCTCCGCTCCATCGAGGTCGGCACGTGCATCCGCTTCACGGCCCAGCCCGGCCCCTGCGACCGTGGCGGCGCCAGCGGCGGCGGCGCGAAACTCTGCTTCCGCTCCGGTCCTGAGAGGGCAGCACACCTGGGTCGGCGGCCGGGCGGACCCCAGGCGGTGACCCTGGCGCCTGAAGATGGGCCCTACTGGGTGCTCCACCTGGTGGGCCATGTGCTGGGTCTGCCGCACCCACACACCTGTCTGAGACCTCAGCAAGACGCCCAGAACACTACCAGGTAGGCATGAATGAAACGGGGCTTCATCATTGGTCAAAGCTAGTTTCGTGAATAGGAAGGGTTCCCTTTCCCCATTCAACCTGTCGACGCATTTCAGATACAAACTTGAAACGGTACGGTGCCCTCAGAGACCGAGTCCTCGAACTCTCGCTAATGAGAGCTAAGAGCTAGCTGGGTGTAGCGAAACGGGTGGGGTACCTACAGCCGGCTCAAGAAACGAGGCCGTAAGGACTATTCTAAGTGTGAAAGCAAAGGACACTAACACGATCTTTACATTTTAGATAAGCGATAAGTGAAAACTCGGGCGACTGTGGAAGTTTCCAGCGCGTAAACAACTATGAGCGAGATAAGTCACACTTAGGAAAGACGACCTCTTCCGGTTTAAAACACATGAATGGAACGGAACGCAATGCTTCTACAAGCGGAGAGAGGGAGCGAGAGAGAGAGAGAGAGAGAGAGAGAGAGAGAGAGAGAGAGAGAGAGCTCCTCTCCTCTCTCTTTATCTTTTTTCCCTCCATAGTTCCTCTCTTCCCTCTCTCTCTCTCTCTCTCTCTCTCTCTCTCTCTCTCTCTCTCTCTCTCTCTCTCTCTCTCTCTCTCTCTCTCTCTCTCTCTCTTTCCTTCTCCTTTATTACTTATTCTCATCGAATATGGCAGAATTCGATTAAGAAATCACTGACAGGTCATGCGCTAGAGGCAGCTTTCGTATTCCGTGCGTCTCGATAATCTAGTATTGATCTGAGTCAGGTAAATGGTAATGGACAGTAGACGGACAGTGGACGGACCAATATTCCACAATAGGCCCACCGACATCGCCACCAATACCTATACCTACCAGTGGCCTTCAAACCGCCGCGCTCCGACAAAATGTGATACGGTCCTTTCACTTTTGTCTGTAATAATATCACTTGTGAACGACTGACAAAACGTTATCGACGTTGTACCAATAGGTTCTGGTGCATTTCTATATTTAACTTATCGATCATTCTGGGCACGTCCGGTCCAGCATAGATCGATCAAAAGACTCTCGATGTCTTCCTCCGACCGTGACAGTGCAGATATCAGTGATGAATGGACGCCCTGGAATCTCACGAGCAGGGGCGCCGCCACGGATTTTTGACTGGGGGGGGGGGGACGGACTGACCGACTGAAAACCCAAAAGTAGACATTCTTACCGTGGCTTTTTCGGTCGGATGCATTCAACGTTTAAAGCAAATATGCCACTTTTAACATAGGGTTTTAAACTGAACTAACAGTTTTGTAGCTTGAGCTGAGAAAATCCTTTTGCAAATATTCATTATTATTTATTTCCTGCTCATTTTAAGTCTAAAAACTCAAAACTGTGGCAGAACAACTGGTTCGAGGAAAGTAGTTTAGGTTAAGGCATTTCCTTAAAGTGGTGGCTATTGGCTATATACCGCATTCCCACCGAGTACCTACCTATATACACATCTGATGTCCGATTCAGTTTGACACGGCAAAGCCTCGTGTTCTATCACGGTATAATTGCTGATGTATGCCACTAATATGATCGATAATGCATATTGCATAGGTAATGCATATTGCATACCCGCGTGGGGGAGGGGGCGTTGTATAGTCACAAATCTCTCTTTTTGGTTTGTGCACGAATCGGCGCGAAGCGCCGCGAAAATTGGCAAAAAAAAAAAACATTAGGCAAAACTGCTCCAAAATACGAATTTTGCAGCCCATGTAACAAGCTTGATACCAGAAAACCTTAGGTCAGGAAAACCAAGTCAAGTAGTCAAGTCGCCTCAAAGTTTTGTGGTCCTGTCAACCGTATAGCTTATTTCTTAGAAGCTGGAAATTTAGTGTAGCGTGACTGCAGAAGTGTGGGGTCGGAGCCGGAATCAGTCGGAGTTGACTGTTTTGGCCAGAGTCGGAGTTGAAGTCTTCGAAAATGTTCGGATTTTGACTTCGAGGTCGGATTGGTGTAAAGTCATGCTCTTGGCTGGTTAGACGAAATATATTAGGCCCGTGTTCGGCCAGTCGTGTTATACGACACACGTTGATCACGATATCAAAAATCGGCAGTTCCGCGATGACAGGTCGGATAAGAGCTGGAGATTTTGTTGGTTTTGTTTTTGTTTTGTTGGGTTAGGCCCTTTCGGTCGACAAGACCATTGCAGAGCCGGAAGGTTGATAGGAATTAGGGGGAGACATTGGTCTGGGCAGGCATCCTAGTGAGTCGCCGGGGCTGAGCCCGTCCAGAAGACAGGCCACCCAGCCCCAAGGCACTCACTGCACCCGGCTACGGGGTGCGCTCCCTCGGGAGCAGCGGTGCCGCTCCAAGGGAGCAGCCCGCATGAGATAAAGTTGCCTGTCCAGCCCGGAGGGGGGTTGTGGCGTGGAGGAGAAGGATTTCAGTATCCTGAAGATAGAAGCACGGATAGGTGATTTTGTTGGCCGAAGTGGCAGGGGTCAGACCAATACATGTAGGCCCACACCCCGAGTATCTAAACCTCCTGGACCCTCTCAGATTCGGCACCGGCCGTTCCATCTCTTCCATCCTCAGGACAGTCAAATCCTTCTCCTCCACGCCGCAACCCCCTGCTCCGGGCTGGACGGGCAACTCTATCCCATGCGGGAATGGCTCCACTGGAGCTATAGTCCTTTGCCGGGTGCAGTGAGTGCCAGTGGGCTGGGCTGCCTGTTCAGTTGGTCGGGTTCATCCCAAGTGGCTCACTGGGGTAGCTGCCCCGACTAATGTCTCCCACTCCCACTAATTCTTTCATACTTGCGGCTCTGAAATGGTCTCATTGGACCGAAGGGCCTAATCAAATTTCGAGTAGGATAACAACCAGTAAAACGCCTTTTGGGGCGACCAACGGAGCGAGCGAAAGGGTGGGGTGGGCCTTACACGTGCGAAATTGCGAGGGGATACCTCCAACTAACTTGTGCACTGCACCCTTCTAACCGGTCCCTAACGATGTGCCAAATTTGAGCGCAATCGGCCTAGCCGTTCTCGAGATCTGGAAGCGGCACCCTGCACGTGCGCACGTGCAAAATGGGTCCCAACTGACTTTTGCACGGCGCCCTACTAACCGGTCGCTAACCATGTATCAGATTTCAGCACAATCGGTTCAGCCGTTCTCGAGATCTGGAATCGACCCCTGGATGTGCGCACGTGCAGCAGCACCCCAACTGTGGCACACGGTCCACGGATATGCATTGCCTAGTGGGTATACCTATTACCTACCTACATGCCAACTTTCAGCGCAATCGGCCCAGTAGTTGCCGAGATAGGTATTGAAATTGTTACAAAACTGACACCTCTTCGTTTTTCACGTGGCACGTGCATATGGGGTCACTCACATGCATCGGGAATAGTCCGATGCTCGTTAGAAGGAATGAATCTAGTGCTACCCTACAAAAATTACCGCATGTAAATCGGTCAAGTGGTTGCTGAGATATAAGCCTAGCAAAAGCGTAACCACGGCATGCTCAGAAATTTCCGTTAACCCGCGCCCCACTGGGGTCTGCGTATAACACGCCCTACTGGGGGGGGGGGGCTATTCATAGCCCCCCCCCTCCTAACTCCGAAACTACTGGGCCGATCGTCAAAATTCAAACGGCGTCTGATAGCCCCGGAAAAACTGTCGAGCTAAACCTAATTTCATTGACCTCAAGGTCACCGATGACGTCACAGGTCAGGTCAAAGTAAAAATTATTAGCATTTTGCTTGTTCACGTTTTGGGCTCTGGCCGCCGTCTTACAAGTCAGATCAGGCTCATTTTTGGATCACACACTCGTGAACAGATGCTCTAGATACCCCGAGGGTACCAAACTTGTACTTTGATTTTCAGGTCAAGGTCAGGTCATCACAGGTCACGAAAATATTATATCATGCGTCGGTCACGTGACACATGTTTTATGGTCCATTTAGGCCAGAGATTTCGAATGTGATGTCGTCTGTGTCATTTGAGGTCATTTTGAGTCGAATTTAGCTTAGGTCAGGTCACTTTCAGGTCAAAAAAGGTCAAATTTTGAAGTTGAAATTTTTCAACAAAAAAGGTGTCTATTGGATGCAGTTTGAGCTCAGGAACACGATGGTGCTATTTATATTGGCGTACGATGTCAAATACGTGCTGAAAAATTGATTTCAAAAATTAATAATTGTGAATTTTTTGCAATAATGCGTAAAACTTGACCATTTTTGAAGATATTTAGCTAAAACTTGCTAGAGTTAGTCATAATAATGCGTTCTATCACATATATTCCGGTTTTTTTTCGAAAAGTCAAAAACTTTTTGAAAAAAATGGAAAAATATAAATTTTGGATTTTATTATATCAAATTTTCGAAATTTTCAAAATTTCGAAAAACCGAGATAGCAGTTTGATAGCGCAGTCTATTCTGAGTCCTCTCATGCAAAGAAATTGGATCTAGCTTAAAAACTGAGCTCTTGGGAGCGATTGCCGTGGTTCAATGTTTTGCGTCGAAATCGGCCGAACATGACGTCACTCTGACGTCATTTCCGGCCGACCTATGGTAGCTACGAAGTTTAAATTTTGACACAAGGTGTCAAATTGATGCAGCCGAAGGTACTGAAAGTTTGGCGTCGATACGTCAAGCGGTTTGGAAGTTATTGCAGAAAAACGGGAGGGGGGGCTATAAATAGCCCCCCCCCCCAGTGGGGCGCGGGTTAACCTACGAAAGACTACGCTCGCTTCGCTCGCTCCGTAATAAGTTTGGGGGGGACGTCCCCCTTCCATTCTGAGAGTGGGGGGGACGCGTCCCCCCGTCCCCCCCGGTGGCGGCGCCCATGCTCACGAGCCTGGCACACAGGCGGGTCTCCTCCCGGTCACGACACGCGGCTACTATACATAGTACATACCCCGTTGCACGGCGAGCGACTCCGCCTGACTCACTGTGAGCCAAGGCCGCGTCACTCAGAGTACGCAGCGGCCGAGAGTGGAAGGGTGAGCAGCTGGGTCGTTTCACGTCACGGCGTGACACGCCGGTCAAAGTGCAAAGACGTAGCGCCGAACCCAGATGACAGAGCCGAGACGGTGTCCCTGACGGTGTCCCCGCTAATGGAGGAGCCAACGAGCGCCCGCTGCACGCTCTGTGACGCTCAGTCACGCGGTGCATGATTGCCGCTTTTGATGAACCAGAAAAAATAACACTGTGACATGTGAGCGTTGTCTGCAGACTGCAGAGCACGCGCTGGTCAGTCCGTCCTGGTTCATTACATGTCCAGCTGATGTAGAGCACAAAGAGCACAAGTTTTCTACAGGACCTTCTAGGCAGAAGCGAGGCATTGTATACGACGGTAGTCGTACAATATCGACATCGGGTGGTTGAATAAGAAACATGCGAGAGTGACGTGCACTTAGCAAGAACCCGTAGGTACATGCAGCTGTGGTCGCCTGTGTTGGAGATCCTGTGGCTGTACAAAAAAAAAAAAAAAAAAAAACACGCTGATTCAGGGACGTAAGGCACCGATCGATCAGAAGGCATCGATCGAGCAAATGTTCGTGCACGGCTGGTTATCAGCAAAATAGGAGCAGATAAAGACATCCACTTTACATATCTAGCCAAACGAAGGGTGGATATTGGGATAGTCAAATCGAGGATAGATATCATTCGTTTCGACGGGCGACAATCCCCCTCAACAGTCAACCATAACATATACAGATGGTGAAATACTTTTACTTGTCTCAAACATAATTAAGTTCTTTTGTAAGTGCAAATATGATAAAGAAATTACGGAACGTGGTCGTGCACCTTTGTTACAAACGCTATGACTCGAATCACGTCAAAAGTCTCCTAAGTCATTTTATCGCTGACTCGTGTGTACCCGCAGGAAAGGCTGCCGCTCACGCCAGTGTCCCTGGCGACAGTTCGACCCCGGCTCGGCGCTGCACCTGACACCTGAGGAGCTCGGCCTCTGGGCACCGCCTCACACCACGCGCCTGAGCTCGGCGTCCGCTCTGCTGGCGCTGTGGCGGACCCGGCGTGCGGCCCGACCCTCGCACTGGGACCTGCTGGCGCTGCACGAGCTGTACCGGTGCTGGGAGGGACGCCCCCGCTGCCCGCCGCGGCCCTGCCGGCACGGAGGGTTCGCGGACCTCCGCTGCCGCTGCATCTGTCCCCCGGGGTTCAGCGGTGACGACTGCAGTGTCGGGATCGGGCCGGCGCAGGACTGTGTGCGCTATGTGGAGGTGGAAGAGGATCTAAACCTGTCGCCGATCGGACTGCCCGCACAGGGAGCTGCCGGACCGGCGGACCAGTGCGTGGTTCGAGTGAGGACTTCCTCCCAGCGGCTGCGGGTCCTGGTGAGGGTTACGGGGGAGTCCAGGATGCCGCCAAAGCAAAGTGTAATGCTCTTCGCCGACGCGTTGTTGTGCAGTGTTAAGATGTATGTGTTTTACAACGGAAGCCAAGAGAGGATCTTCTGCATCCTGGATTATCTGGCAGAGCCGCTGTTATTGAACGTTGCAGGAACGTTTGCTGATGTAGTGTTTCATGCGAACCCGTCACAACTGAACATACACCAGACATGGAAGCAAGCGAGAGTCGTGGTGCGTTCGGCTGATACGTTGTCCAAAAACCTGTCAGAAAACGTAACGTCGACACCCACCACAACCTTGCCAACTGTCACCTCTTCATTGGGACCACAGCATTATGGAAAAGGTCAGATGCGATCGGCAGTTGGCGCCGTTCCCTCAATGAACCTGCTCATTTTGCCGCCGATTTTATTTGCTTTGATGGGCTTCAACTTCTTGGTCGTGTTCGTCATCAAGAAGTACTGGGAGTACCGCTACGGCACCGCGGGTATTTACCGGGGCACCGAGCGAGCCGACTGGATGGACCAGGATGAGGAGGAGCCCGAGGACTACCAGATCAAGGTGGAGTACTCCAACAGCTTCGACGCCATCAAGCCCGGCTGGGAGGGCATGACGAGGGAGACCTCGGTACCGCAGGCCGAGATGACCGACCTGGAGCTGTTCCGCACCATGTACGGCGTGCCGGCACGACCTCAGCCTGACGATACCGAACAGGAGCCGACGCCGCCGGCCCGCGCACAGGTACCGGCAGAGGGGGAGGGTCCCACTGAGAGAGACAGGGCGGGGTCACCGACACCGGGCAAACAGGAGAGTCTCACCGTACCCGCTGAGGCGAGTACCGGTGTATCGGGAAAGAAGAGCCTCACCAATACTGGTAAACCAGACATCAGCAAATCCAATGACAAGAGACCTGCAAGTGTCGATAAAGTGAAAACTGCTTCATCCGTCCATGCTAACCTCGGGCAGACTACCGACATAGAGGCGTCCCACTCGCTGGAGGGAAAAATGAGCGACGGCTACCTGAAACCATTGGACCCACTCTCAAAAACAAGGAAGCGAGTCAGTTTTAGCGACGACATCGGCGAGCCGCTGTCAGTTCACGCAGATCTTCCAACTGAGAAGAAAGGAGAAAAACCTCAAACATCCACAGCCTCAAAGAAGCCATCTGAACCGAAAGTGGCGACGGACGTGTGTATCGCTGTCCCATTCAGCGGAGACGCCCAGCCACAGTCGACGACGGCTAACGATTCTGACAGCGACGACGACTCGGACGAGTCTTCCTGCTGCGATACCTCGTCGTCAAGTTCCTACCATGAGGATGACGACGACCTCAAGAAACCAGAGCCTGGACTTCTGCAAGGATTGACGCGATGTTTTCAAAGGAAAACAAACAACGATTCGAGCGAAATACAATGACACAGCAATACGACTTTTCAGAGGTTATGAACGGCATAGGGTGGTGGACGACGTACACGCATCACGATCTGGAGGGTGGCAGAGTCCATATATAAGATGCTCCTCATAAGTCGAAAAACCGCAGCCATCAGCGATAACCTTATGGATAATCACAAGATCATAAGATTGCACTACCACACACCATATGCATCACACTGTGGTTGGCTGTTTAGTTCATTTATTTACCTCACATATGCATACAGCAAGGTCGCTCTAAATACTGGCTTTTTGTGGCTTTACAAGTCAATAACCAATATCAGGTATCGGTAAAATAACCAAACCAATCAAAGACAAAGGAGAAAATGGCCATCAATAAAGCTGATACAAATCCCATAACACTGCTGGAGACGAAATTACTCCAATTAAACTGAACGACCCTTACAAGATAGCCCCAAGGTCAAAGCAACGACCATTCATACAACAATGCACACAGTTGTGAACACAATATCAACCTAAAAGCGCTAGGAACGAGCGCTTCAAGCAAACCCAAACGCAAAACAAATTACAAATGAATGCTGGATTTTGCTAAGCGTAGTTCAGTTACTGGAAATAATTGTACGATTCTGGCTCACACAAAATCCATTTAGACTGCTGGTAAACATCAGATCCATAGCAACATCCACGGCAGCGAGGCTGCTTGGGCTCACCTTATTAATGCCCATGACTGTTTGAAAGCACAAATCCATGCGCTCACTGAACGTTAAACAAATATTAGGTGACATTTTGTGGCATTACTGCAATTATTACATGCACACTTCTCACCCAAAGCCTTTCACATCAGCCTTCAATATATCTTGCTGACTGCTTGTTGACCGTTGTCTTCAACCTCAAATGCACGATATAGGTACTTCACATGGGTTATACAAGATACAGATTTCACAGAGGACTGGTAGATAATATAGCTCATCTCTGTCATGCAGCTAGCCAAAGCTGATCCTTGGTAGTTAACTGGTAGGCGGGATAAGTAGGCATCGGGAAAGACCACATCACGCCTGCATGTGGGCGAGCCTCAAACCGGGTCGTTGGCAGCGGCACCACACGCCAAACGCCCCCGCTCTAGCCGTTGATTTCGCCGAAGTGGGAGTAGGCCAGTGCGCCGTTGCGGCTCCGGCGGCAGTAGATGAAGAGTCCGATGGCGCAGAGCACCAGCAGCAGGGTGAGGGAGACGGCCAGGGCGATGATGGTGACCTCCTGAGCGGTCGGCGTGCCGCTCGGGGGCGGCGCGCACTCGGCGGCACCGTCCTGGACCCGGACCGGCGCCGTCAGGTCGCGGAACGCCACCCAGGGGCAGCGGCCGGTGCAGTTGGGCAGCCGCAGCTGGTACGGCTCCACGGCCGTGTCGTTCCGGTAGAACAGCTCCACGAAGAAGGCGCCTGACGCGTCGCGGTGCAGCTCGACGATGACGCAGCTGGCCAGCGGCGGCGCGATGCCGTTGTAGACGCCCAGCGCGCCGAGCAGCGCCGCCACGTCCGAGTCGTGGCCCGAGTACATGAAGAGCTCCCTGTTGGGCGGCGACAGGGTGCCCGACACCTTCTGCGAGAGGTGCTCGGTGATGTCTGCGAGCAGGGCGCCGCCGCCCAGACGGCGCAGCGCCGCGTCGTAGCTGAGCAGGTCGAACGCCAGCTCGTTGAGCGGTTTGAGCACGTCCGGGTAGACGGTGGCGTTGTAGGGCGCCAGCCGGGCGGTGGCCCACGCCGGCAGCGTCCAGTTGCGCGCGTCCTCGATCAGGAGGAGGTCGAACAGCAGCATGGCCTGCTCGAGGTCGCGGACGGGCGCGCCGCAGTGCTGGCTGAGGTACTCGTACAGCGGCTGGTTCTGCTTCTCCACCAGTCGCAGCGGCGTCGTGTTGAGCACGCGCTTCAGCTCGATGGCGTAGCGCGGGCAGGCGGCCATGAAGTTGAGCAGCCTGTCGGAGGTGATGGGCTCCGTGTGGACCGGGATCGGCTGCCACGCCAGGTCCGGGTTCCACACGTCGCGCCCTTTCGGCGGGTACAGACCGGCCAGGTTGACCTCAGCCGACATCAGGGTGCGGTCCACGTCCGAGGCGCGCACCAGTGTGTAGTTCTCGTGGTACTTCTCGCTGAGGAAGCCGTCATAGCGTGTCCGCAGAAATTGTCCCAGCTCAAACTGCATCTGCTTGCCCTGGTTCGTGAGCTGGCCGAGCCCCTCGTCCAGCCAGAGGTCTCGGTGCGGGTCAGTGGGGCACACGACCACAGGGGTGCGCGCGCCGTGTCGGAACAGCACCTGCACTAGCTGCAGGGTGCTGTTGTCGCCCGCGGCACACACAGACAGCCAGAGGCTGGCCGACAGCAGCAGTGGCCACAGGTGACCCATCACGGACAGGAAGGAAAATGTATGAGAAAGCACTCACGTGAGGATGATTTCTGCTGGTTTCTCTTCTAGGTGTTCGGACCTCTTTACCTGCAGAAAAAAAGTTATAGTCTGTTTTTCGTATCTTCTACCTTCACTCAAAGACGGTAAACTCTCTAATCACGTGCTCCAGCGAACATCTAATTAAATCAACACCGCTGCAAAGTCAATTTTTATCTCGAACGCAAGATCGAACGTCTGTCCCCTTGGCCTATCTCGTTAATCAAAATGCAATGTTCTTTGTCAAGTGAAATGCATTTGCATAAAAAGGTGTCATCATATTTTCATTCTGGCAAAATTATCCCTTTCTAATTTCATTATGTTTTCAAACAACAGAAGGGCAATGGCCTTGGTCTCAGACAAGACAAAATGATCGTAACGTTTTCTTTCAACGTTTCAAAGCAAAAGAAATGTGGGTTAGGTGACTGAAATAAGGCGGTGAAGAAGGAGCACAACCAACGAATATCGCCAGAATAACGAACTTACTTCCTTGGATATCAGAAAGAAAAGTGTTGAAGGCGCGGAGATACACCGATGGTGTTGGCACAGTTCAACTCCGTCATGCTTTCAGCGCAGTATAATACGAAAAATGGTGTTATTGTTGTTATTACCTGCAATCATAATATAAGCCCTAAGGCGTTGGTGATTGCCAGTGGTCAAAAAGTCATGTCAGATGATAAAGATCACCAGCAGCTTTCGACAATACCTAATAGCTGCTAGAACTAAAAATGTTTCGACGGCGCTGTAGTTCAATCGGTTGACAAGGTTTGGTCAGATTTGTCCAAACATGTTAAGCTCGGGAGTTTTTTAAATTTATGACCTTCAGTGGCCTTCACTATTGACCTCAGCAAAATGCGGTATATACTATATACGTATACTGCTGAAAGTAATTGTTGAGAGCTCTATCGATTCTTGCCCGCGTCTTCGTATCTTTTTTACTTTTCGGGATGATTGCGTGAGGCAGATAGGAAAACTGTAAGATCAAGCAAATCTGCCTGGGGACCCCCAAGCGGGCGTGGGCTAAGACAATTTTGTTATTCGTCGGTGTAAAAGTTATCGCAACGTAAATAAAGCAAAACATAAAAGCATTTGGAAAAAATATGGCAGAGCATAAAACACATTTAGCTTCTTTTACCCAATGAAAAGGAAGTGCAAGGTTTAAACTTTAAGCAAGAGCGCTTCGCACAATGCAAGTACCTATGAACAGCAAAACGTCCTTGTGTATAGGTCGGTAGTCAGTACCAATAAACCGTGGTAACGATAATACAAGCGATACTCTAGCTTAACCCTCGCCCGCACATGGGGGGGGGGGGGGTGGTTGCCACCCCCCCCAGGCAGTCTTTCTGCTCTGCACTCAACATTTTTAGAGCTAGAAGGCTGATTTTTCGTATAGCTGCTCGTCTATCCTTTCTTGATGTCCACTGAAAATGTCAAGTTTCTATGATTTTTGGTTTCGGAGATATGACCTTGTTTTTCAGGTCATGTCATGACCCAAATGGCCAATTCTCAACATCTTGCGTTTGCCATGGGCCTTGTGAGCTTTTGACACCCTGATTTCGGCCTTTTTTGCCAGTCTTACCTCCCACCTATCATGGAACATGTTGTTCGACGATGTACAGGGGTCAAGGTCAGGGTCAAGGTCAACCTAGGTCATCTAAGATAATTGCGTTTTAGGCAAGCTGAATTTACTTTTTGTGAAGTTTTTTGACTGCATTTTTGGTAAAAGCTTCTCAGATCATGATTTCATGTGATATGGACCCAAAAACAATCGGTGCACACATCAGTATACACACAGACACACACAGACATACAAACACATATAATTGACCTTGACCTAACTTGACCTGAAATGACCTCAGCAGCAAAACTCTGGTCGGATAGTGTGACAAAGAGGTTCTAGCTGGCTTGGCACCAGAAAACAGCATCGTCATCGGTATTTGATAAGCAGCGCACTTGATATCCAACGGTGACCCAAAACAGCAACATTTTTTAGTTTGACCTGACCTGGAAGGTCAATGACTGACCTGAGAAGGTAAAACTGGGTATCATTGGATTCGTCTCTTCCCAAAGAATCTTTTTGGTCTTTACTGCTAAGCTCTATCTGCAACAGGAACGAAATGGCGCGGGGGGGGGGGTGGCAACCACCCCCCCATGTGCGTTCTAGGATGGGAAAATGGCATGTGCGGGCGAGGGTTAAAGGTTTCTTTTCCGACTTTATCTGCGCAGCGAAGGCGAACTCCAACACGAGCAACAAACTCTTGCAATGAGTGGTGGGCCATGCGGTCAAGATTTGAAAACTATACCCAAAAAACGTGCTGGAGGGGCAAAACATCTTTGAGTGAAGGTAGAAGATACGAAAAACAGACTATAATACACTGTTAGCAATGAATAATTACGGAGCGAGCGAAGCGAGCGGAGTCTTTCCTTAGATTAACGGAAATTTCTGAGTATGAGCGGCCGGCCGGCCGGCCGGCCGGCCGGCCGGCCGGCCGTGCGGACGCTTTTGCGAGGCTTATATCTCAGCAACCACTTGACCGATTTACATGCGGTAATTTTTGTAGGGTAGCTTCATTCCTTCTACCAAGTATTGGACTATTCCCGATGCATGTGGGTGACCCCTTATGCACGTGCCACGTGCAAAACGAAGAGGTGTCAGTTTTGCAATTGTTGCAATATCTCGGTAACTACTTGGCCGATTGCGCTCAAAGTTGGCATGTAGGTAGGCACCCACTAGGCACTGCATATCCATGTGCCAGAGTTGGGGTGCTGCTGCACGTGCGCACGTGCAGGGGTCGTTTCCAGATCTCGAGAACGGCTCGACCGATTGCGCTCAAATTTGGTACACAGTTTGGGACCGGTTAGTAGGGTGCCGTGCACAAGTCAGTTGGGACCCATTTTGCACGTGCGCACGTGCAGGGTGCCGCTTCCAGATCTCGAGAACGGCTGGGCCGATTGTGCCCAAATTTGGCACATCGCTAGAGACCGGTTAGTAGGGTGCCGTGCACAAGTCAGTTGGAGGTACCCCCTCGCAATTTCGCACGTGCAAGGCCCACCCTCTCGCTCGCTCCGTTAGTCGCCCCATAAGGCGTTATACTGGTGATACTGATATCAATCAAAGCTAATTATAATGTCTACCGGGTGGCCCAGAAAAAAACGTTCCGAACTTTGGAGGCCTATATATCAAATTCGAGTGCAAATAACGAGCCAAAACTTTCATCAAGTTTGCGTCATTTCTTTGCGCATTGGTATGCCAATTCATAACACTATACCATCATTTTAAAGCTGGCAATCTTGAGTTGAATTAAGTAAGACGTTTTTGTTTTTTTTTTGCCGATGTCAAACGATAGTGATGATTGGGTTAGACGTCCCATGTTATAAAAAAAAGAAAAAATAGAGCACGTGAATGAAACCAACACGTAGTATGTAAATATTTTTGTCTCACTTATGTGCCAAATATTTAAATACTGAGCCAAAATGGTGCTCATGGATGCCATTCGTTTCAACACCAAATCATCTTTCGAGCAGGAGTGGCACGGTGCATGGATTGCTGCTGATTACCCTCCTTTCAGTAGATCAGACAGTAAATCGACCGGATAAGGAAAACAAACTAAAGCAGACCATGGTTCCTGTACCAGAAGACCACAGAATAGCTTATGAAAAACAACATTGCCAGCAGATGACAAAAAAAAAAAACTTGTTGAAAAGCTACATTTTCCCAGGAATGTCAGCCAGGAAAGCATTTGAGCCACAAGATGGTTAGAAAACTGGAAACTTCTTCCGATGCCGCTGGCACAGAGCCATCGTGGTTGCCTGAGGGAATGTGTCATCCTGAGACCCGAACCATCAATGAGACTAGCTGCCAGTAGCAGTCATGTCTCTAGGCCGCGGTGCCGCGGGGTGAAAGTGACCCGTTCACTCACATTTTTGAGTAAACATCGGAGCAAAAAAGTAATTTTTACATGGCATGCTTGAAACACAAACCGTTTAAAAAGTAATTTACCGAACACCCTGAAAATCACATCATTTACTGAAAATGTGTGCCGCATTGACTACTCGAAGTTTCAATATTGTATCTTTATCACTTTCTGAGAAATATTGATTTAAAGTTGGGAACGTTTTTTCTGGGCCACCCGGTATACCTGAGACATGAAAACAGAGGGCTGCTCAGGTCCCTGCAGCATAGATCTGTGCTGCGTGCGTCATACTTAGATGACGTCAACCACCTGGCTCCGCCCACTCTCCGCCGGCACGCCACGGCCGAGAGTCGCTGCAGCCTATTTCAAACACGGCGAACCGTTGCGCGGGTGAACTGGTGATTGTCGCTCAAATAGCGGTTAAATTGGGTTTAAATGTGGTTAGTAACAATGTGCCACCGAAAACAGTGATAATGATACCCAAAAAACAGCATACAATCTGCCAACAATAAGAAATATTGGACGGCAAACTTTAATCCGCGCCACTTTCACCTCCTGCAGCACCGAATTTCTGGCTGCAGGAAAACGAAGCATGCTTCAGTAGGTGACGTCACACAGGTGGTGACGCAGTGGTGTCGGCTGCTGGGCAGGACTAACAGGTGACGTAGTCCTCACTGCGCATGCGTGCTGCAGCATATTTCATTTTGGCTGTGCAGACAAACAGCCCTCAAGAAGTCTTTCAAGTCTGTCAGATTACCCAAAGTACACATAAAGGTACCTACTACACAGTACACACACCACAAAACAAGCCATTGGAATGAATAACTATGCACATACATGGATGAACAGTATATTCAAGAGCAAGATGGCATTTTCAGCTAGCCAGTGTCACAGGAATTGGCAAGGGAATTGGGGCTTCATGCAGGCTTTTCATGTAAGTGCTTGAAAAGACCTTGATCTGTAAAACCTACGCTTTCACTTTGACTTCGTTCTTCTAAAACGTTGGGCAAACTAGACCTTTGGAATCAAAATATGGAGGCATCAAAAGATTGATTCCTTATGACCATATTTGGGCATAAATGCAGACCATTTCTAACTTACCAATCACATAAAAATAAGAGAGTGTTTCAAGAAGGAGCATGCCTGATCTTGAACAGAAATGCTGGAACTATCTCCTAAGCAAAATAATATTGCTCCTATCATAACAATTTGAATTCTATAGGTAGTCAAAGGCAATCAAGAAATTGATTCACTTCATACAGATAATCATAATATTGATTCCCCATCAGCTGGCTAATCATTATTTTGATTCACAGGTAATGTTAACAGATAGGCAACAATGACTTGCAAGAATACAATATTTATCTTGCTATTATTCTCATTTAGTGGTATCCTCAGCACCACAACAGATACCTATAGCATTGTTGTACTTTACCTTCACTACGTTTGATAACAATTCACAATTTTTAAAGGTCAAGAATACAAAAACTGAAGCAACAGGTAAAAACCATATAATAAATATAAAAGCACTAAAATAATGATAATTAGGGGTTTGAAAATTTCATTTTGCCATTTTACACAAATACTGATTAGTTAGTATGTGATTCATGATACAAAAATAACATACAGTGTGATTTCCTCAAAACAGCTCTTACGTGATGGACAGTGGCCCTGTCTTATTCCCATTCACAAGGCCAAAGGGACAATTTCTTAGTTTTGGGGTAACACTTTTTGCAAACCTGCATATTTACGTCTGGACAACGAGTTGCGGGGAAAAGTGCCGATTGTGTTGCAGTTTTAGGAGCCGGTGATTAGGCTGGATTTTTGGGTTACTTTTTCGTTCCGATTCATGTATGTCATAGTGTTTGGCTTTTGAATATTTTAGTTCTTTCAGATAAATATTACTTGCCTTACAACTTTTGTAAAAACGTTTCATTTTTTTATAAGCCGACGTTCAGAGTCCTAAAAATACATCAGCACTACAATCAATGTAAACAAACAAATGGAGCACCACTTGGCTCTGCTCCAAGGCCATTTTTTAGTTTATCTGGTGGTTTTCTTGCTCTTGTACGTCGTTTTGTTGGATGTTTTGAATCCCTTAAGATTGACTTATATCATATTTAAGAAGCATGTTGACTGAAAACAATCTGAAGTATCCAGGAGGCTGACAGAGGTCCTGACTACTGAGTAATATCAATATCAAGTTGAACAAGTTATGAAATTTTGGTTGATAAACGCAAGTTGATCGGGCTCATATATCAGCAAGAAAAAGTAAAATTAAAAGAGCTTAGGTATTGTCCAAAAACAAGCTATAATATTGCAGACCTTGGAGCAATACTGAAGAGCACGCTGAGCAGGATCATACCAGAAAATGTTGACTGATGAGCGCATATTGATGTATTGGTATGAATATTGAATGATAACTTACAACAGCAAGATAAATTAGTGCTAACTATCAAGTTAAAATCTAGAATGAATGGACTTGGGCAGTTTTACTATGCTTAGATGCTATGCAGATTGTAATGTGCATCAGGTACTCAGTGTCTGGCAAATGAAACAGGAGATCATTCCATTGCTACTGGAGGAGAAAGCTTGGATCACTAAATCCACTTTATGTTGATTTTGATGTTAATCATCATAACTGTATTTCTTGAAAAAAGGATTGTAGTAAAATTGTCAATGTGACAATCCATGCAACAATGTGATCATATTATGTGTTCATAGTCATTCGTGATAGTCATTATTGGTCCAATATACAATGACAAAGCTCTCAGTCTCAGCGTTTCTTCCTGTGGATGGCCAGCAGTGACTCAAAGCTTAAAAGTATTAGTTTTCTTCACAGGGCTGGGATAAACAGTACTGAGGGTAATCTTCCACCAAGGAACTCCACTCTGACATGGTATGAGATGTAGGCACAAGTAGGTAGGTGCTCAGTTCCTACTTCCTATAGTCAGTAGTTGTGTATGTTTACCTAAGATCAGATTGTTAGTTTTTTAATTTGCCAAATGTCCATAAAAATGTGACCTGAGCAATGAGCATACCTGAACCTGACTAACCTGACAGCTGACCTAACCTCAATCATCACACATATTTGCAGCCTACCCAAGACCTGCATGGCAGTAGCACCCAGTTATAGGTAGGTACTCACCCTAACTCAATCGTACCTGCTAACCTCCAACTTGCCAAAAGTTAGCTCACATTGCCACGCTGTGTCCAGGGAAACAGTCAACTGAGGAACTGGCTCATTGGGTGGCTGGTGTGAGACTGTGCATTTAAAGTGTTTCTTCTCTGAAGCTGCTCTGCACTGCTGTATGTCATGTTAGATGCTCAGAAAATGTGGGAAATGATTACTAAGCTACTTTAGTGCTTTGTTAATGCTCGAGACATGAACAAGTACAGATCCTGCAGGGTGCAGCTATGAGTTAGGTGCTAACTGCTAGGTGAGTATGTTATGTGAATGTGCTGTTCCCTGTTTGACCTTAAGTATACAAACAAGCACAGGGTCACAGTTATATTCAATCTCCACATAAACATACAACAAAAACGGCCATATAGCCTAACTCCGAACACACCACAGATAACTTAAGCCTTTGAAGGCACAAAAATGTTTTGATTAACAGGACAGGTTTACAATATATCCTCTGTCCTTGGGGGATCTTGCTGCCAAGTTGAGGTATGATGACTGAACTTCAGGATTGATCAACCTTTTCTTAGCCACTGCTTATATACGAGAAAGACCAAATGCTTGTTTGGTTTGATTTACAGGACATGTATACAATATATCCTCTGTCCTTGGGGAATCTTGCTGCCAAGTTGAGGTACGATGACTGAACTTCAGGATTGATCAACCTTTTCTTTGCCACTGCTTATAAACGAGAAAGACCAAATGCTTGTTTGTAAACTGCGTTGAAAATTTAATGATCCACCTTCAATTCTGACATGAAGGCACAAATGAAATAGTTCCCTCTTCTTTTGGAATACACAAAGCAAAATATTTAATAAATTTTAGTGGATGGACAAGAGCAATTAGTATAGCTTTCCCTCAAGTTAACTTCTGGTGACTTCTGGCACTGTTGACTTTTTTTTTTTTTTATTTGCTCGGTCGGCCTAGTGCCATACCCGAGCAGGGGGCAGTTACTCCGGCAATTTTCGCCGGGCAGCAAGTCTTACGTTAAACCGGTTTATGTGAACCCGGTAGCAAAAACAACGTGGGATCCTATCTTAATGTGGAATCAAAGCTAAGGGAGGTACTTACGTGTATAGCCAAAGAGCCGAGATGTCTGGAGTCGCAAACACAACAGTGGGAATGACTTTTATTAACAATACATAATAGGCATGAACACTTGTGAGCTGGTGTCAGTGTAATGGAGCCGGGAAGCTTTCATCGCACTGACAGAAGGTATAAGACCTTCTAGGCTCCAGCCCCCCGGCGGGGCCTTGTTGTGGGGTGTAATGGTCGGGAGAAAAAGTCCTAAATAATAAAAAACCCGACGCCTAACGCAAAGGGCAAAAACCTCGCACCTAAGCCAAAACGGCGCGAGGGAAAAAGCCCTGTAACCGCGATTAATTAATGTGTGAGTTTGGGGGTGAGCCGGGAGACGAGGGCTCTGATTAGCGTTTTAGGGGCGGCAGCCGCGGCCCTAACACGCTAAAGGCTCTTGATGATCCGAGCGTCGGCGAGAAAGACGAACAGAAGGTCGTGGATATCCGGATGAGTGTCGCCCAGGAGAGTCGGAAGGTCGAGAGAGAGTCCATGTGTGTTAATGTATTGTACTATATGTCTGCGGTGTTGGTGTAGGTGTGGGCAGTGGAGGAGGAAGTGTGAGATGGTGTAGCGTGGGTGGTCGCGGCAGTGGTGACATATGGGTGGAGGTGCTCTGTCCAGGATGTAGTTGTGGGTGAGTTGTGTGTGGCCGAGCCGGAGCCTGGCTAGGACTCTCTCTTTGATCCTTGTGTTTTGATGGGAAGAGTAGAAATGGCAAAGTTTCGGTTTAATGGAGAAGAGATGTGGTGTATGATCATCTATCCAGCATTTTTGGCGGTATCTCTGGAAGGCACGGAAGAGCGAAGACAGAAAATCCGGAAGGGGGAGAGCGAGATGATTTCGAGATGGGAGATGAAGACCTTCTTTGGCTAGCTTGTCCGCTTTTTCATTCCCCTGTATTCCAACGTGGGACGGAATCCACAGGAGAATGACGTGTTTGTTTTCATCGGTAAAGCCAATAATCATCTTTTTTATTTTATAAACGATTTCGTTTTTTTCCATTTTTCTGTGAGCTATTGCCTTTACCGATGAAGCTGAGTCTGTGCAGATCACAGCCTTTTCTATGTTTTTCGATGAGACATATTTGAGTGCTGAGTGAATGGCTATCAACTCAGCACTAAATATGCTATGGTCGTCGTGTAGCCTACTTGTTTTGTTATGATGGTCAGATGTGACAGCGGCTGCCGTCCTCCCGTCACAAACTGAACCATCTGTATATATGTATGCATAGTCTTTATGTTCTTCTTTATGCTCATAGAAAAGTTGAATGCTTTCTTCTTTTGTGACTTTTGATTTTGCCTCTGCGTACAGGAATGCAATATTCTCTATGGCTGGCAGAAAGAAAGAAGAGATGGGTGGCCGATGAAAAATAGATGGAAAATCCAACTGGAAATCACTGAGTGTCCTTTCTATGCGATAGGCGATTATCGGGTATTTGAGTTGGGCCGTTGTGGGAGGGTCGTCCGTATATCGATTGGAGACAATGCGGTGCGAAGGCGAATAAGGGGACAAGAAAGTGCGCGCATAGAAGCGAAGGAGTTGGAGTTTACGGCGGTGAGAGAGAAGAGGAATATTACATTCTGCGTGGAGAGCCTTGATATTTGTGGTGCATTGGGCTCCTGTAACTATACGCAGGGCCTTATTTTGTATAACTTGAAGTGATTCGATCTGATTAGAAGCTATATCATCAAATAGAAAACTGTTGTAATCCAGGATAGGACGGATTAGGGAAGTGTATAGGTTAAGGAGGGTGCTGCGATCAGCACCCCAATCCTTTCCTGCTATACACTTAAGTATGTTGAGGCGCCTAGTGCAACGCATTTTAACGTCTTCAAAGTGATGTTTAAAGGAGAGTCTACTATCTAGTGTGATGCCGAGGTATTTGAACGTTTTAACGTATTTGATAGTTTGGTTCTTTACTTTAAGTTCGGTATCAAATTTAAAACGGGACTTATGGGAGAATATAAGTGCTACTGTTTTGCTGGGCGACAAGACTAGGCCCCATTTATCGCACCAGCTATGAATATCCTCCATTGCGTTTTGAACGGAGGCAAAAGCCGAGTCAATGTTTCTTCGCGTTACCCAAATGGCCACATCATCGGCAAAGTAGAATGCTTAAGGCTACTAGGTGGGTTTTGAAAAAGGTCGTTAAT